CCCCCTTTTATGGGCGAGGCTGGGGCGAGGGAGTTTATGCTCTTTTTCTGGAGAGGCAGCTTCGTGCGTCACGCCTGACCGCTGCATTTTAGAAGACGGCCCGAACCCAATGATCCCCAGAGTGCTAAATTTTCGCCGCCAACGCATTACTGAGATAGATGCTTTCAATGTGGCTCTGATCGCGGATACCACACATGCCGCGCCACCAGAAAAAAGGTAAGCTTGCTTTTCCTTATGTGGTAAGAATGCTTGCAAAAGAAAATCAATATTCTAGGATGGATAAATCTTAAATTCTACTAAATTGTCACTATCAAAGGAAATCATTGTAAATCTTTTAATCTTTTTTAAATATTTCATGCAAAAATTTGACTTTCAAACTAATTAACCCTTTATACACAATTCTGTTGAATTTATTATTTACAATGAAGTCGAGAAAAGCAAGAAAGGTAGTTCAAAATCTCTAAATAAAATTCTTTGTAAATGGAAAATTATAAAAAAAAACGTTTAAAGCAGATTTTTAGTTTTCTGTATTTTAAATCAGAATAACCTTTGTTCGAAAAAAAGGTCTTTTTTCCCGAGTCTACAATTATCAAAATGCAAGATGAAATTATTAATTCATTTTGCCCTACATGAAAGAATTTTAAAATTTTTGCACATTGCTCTCTATAGACGCAAAATGTACATTCTAATTTTGGGTTTTAATCAGTAAGCTATTCATGATAAAAAAAAAAATAAATTAGGGTAATATTTTTAGCAAAATCAGTTTTTTTTTAGCTTAATGGCTATGGTGGGCTATGGTAGCCCCCATTTTTAACATTTGATTTTACGTTTTCGCATACCCAACAAGATGAGGGCAGTTTAAATATAGAATACTCTGTAGAAATGATTTGATTTTAAATTTGAAGGTAATTTTTTTAGAAAAATTTAGTTATTTAACCTGGCTATTTAAAAAGCATGGTAATAATTTGGTATATATTTTTTTTCCTTTTTTATACATTACTTATTTGTTGAAAATATTAAATAAGCATACACATTTTCAATGCCACATGAATTTTTAATTATCTGGTTAAAGTGGGTTAATGTTCAAGATTTTCATTTTACTAACCTAATCGTTGATAATGATTATTAATTATAATTATATAATAATAAACGAAATTTTTTTCGCAAAATCGGATTTTTTAAGAAACATCAATTTTAAATTAAATTTTGCAAAAATTTCTTGCGCCTAGATTTTATAAAAAAAATCCACTCCTATTGAATAATTAAATGTGTTAAAAATAAAATATCGTTCAAGTTTCCAACTTGGCGGACTGACTCGCCCGAAGAGAAGTAAAATTTTTACGCCTCGGAAACAATGAGAAAAGTTCCGAATTGGACACACGTGTTGTTTGTTACGCAAGAAAGAAGCAATTTGGCGGCATGCCTTGACTTATGCATAACTTGTTGGACCAGGTGGCGGAATTCTTTTTTTATCGTGCGTGAGAAAGGCTGGTGGCGACGAGCAAAAAAGAGCAAGAGTTTAATTCGGAGCGGCGGCCGGTATGGCGGTGGGCGCGCGGGCATGCGGCTGTTGATGCTCGGGAGGTTGACCCAGCCCAAGCCAGCCAGCGAGAGACGATCTTTCCATCATTCCACTGTGCGCGCTGCTCTCGCCAGCAACAAACGCAGCTTCGCTCTCTCCGCGCGCGCGAGCTCGTCGCCGCGAGTGTTCATTTCAGAATTTTAATCAAGTGCATAGATTCCAAGAAGAACCTAAATTTGTGCGGACTTCAAAATATTCACCTTCTGAAGAAATTGCTCGTTTTAATGGAGGTAAATGTTACGATTGTTTACACATTTTTTTTTTCTTTAAAAACATTTATAAATGTTTAGTCTGCCTGATATTTTTTTTTAACTTGCTGATCGGGTTGTTCTCAAGGTCGGCCAGGATTTTATCTTTTGATGCATGCCGGTCCGTTGCAAATTTTAAGCGTTGTGAGAGTTGTTCGCAGTTAATCCAAGTCAACCAAATTTAATGAAGTCAAAAATTTCATAGACTCGGTTTTGCAACATAAAAATGGAAATGCTACTTGGACAGAAAAAAAGGCAAATCATTTAGATTCGTGAGATTAACTGAATATATACTGTATTTAACTATAAAAATTGTGATTTTTTTATAAGGCTCATCAGGATCTCTCCTGTAAAAATTGCTACTTCTGATTCCCACAAGTTCAATGTGAAAAAAAATTCATATTATAATTTTATATTTTCGTAATGCAATGACGGGCAATATAAAGTTTAATTGATGAATAATGAATTTAAATTAAATCAGATCAGAAATTTATTAAACACTGTCGTTTACAACAATATATGAATTTAAATTGAGCAGTTTTATTGAAAAAATTATTTAATTTTAACTTACATTTACAAAAAAAAAAATCCATTTCTCTAGATTTTTGTAATCCTTCCTCTATGATGGTGTACTGGAAATTATTTTAAAGAGAGGCATTTGGGTTATTAGTTATGATTTAAATCCTTGCAAATTTTTAATAATTTGCGTATTTTTATTAGTTCCGGTAACATAAATTTCACATATCCTTCACCTTATCGATCAGAATTTTATTGAATTTACGAATTTGATTTGGCTTGAAAGAAAGTCTAGCGCACGTCAAATCCAATTTTTTCGCTTTCTCATCAAATCAGATATGCATATATGAAACTCTCTCCAGTACTGTGGGTATTGGAGATTTGTTTGCGTTCGGAGGGGCAAATTTAATCTAAGCTGGAAAATCGAAGCGGCGTGCTTGACAATTTGTTAGAGGGAGAGAGGTGAGGTGCTATATCGAGGGGTAAACTATAAAACAAAACGGCCTGGCTGGGTATGCATATAAGGACATGCAATTAGATTCACGCGCAATGTCAATCAACGCATTCCCGCCAACTGTCGTCCGATATGGCAAAAGTGCTTTTTTAATTGGAGTTTTGACGCATCGATATAATAAAAACTCACTGCAGCAAATAAACCGCCCACTGAAAAGTTGCGAATTATTTTTGTAATTTCTCCCTCAAAGGTTGAACGCCGAGCTGTTTATGATACGATGGAGGGTGTTTGCAACTTTTAACTCTCGGGACCGTTAGCTCCACTTGACAATGGGAAAATGCAGTAATAAAACTGCACACGTACTCATCATACAAAGGTACCTTTTTTATACGCTCTATTTATTCATGTCGTTCTTTTGCCGCCGCCCTTGGCTACCATTTATCAGGGACAGAGGAACGCTTTTACTTTTTTTCATCAATATAATATCCAGAGCGCGAGTGCGTGGGAGGACGAGCTGCATTGTCTCTCTCTCATTTCATATATTGACCGCGTGCATCTGACATTTCAATATATGCGTTCTCACATAAGTTAGCGCTGCACATGCAACTATATTGAATTTATTGGACTCGATATGAAGGTGACGGGGTTGACGATGATTTTCCTGTGTCAGATAATTAATTATGTATTTTCCGTCAGCACCTGCCTTTGTAAGGCTTTGATCTTCACTTGCAAATTTGCAATATATATGAGCTCGGCTGTTATTATCCAAGCGCCTCGGAAATGATTATAATTATTTTATACAGAGCTATACGAATTTTTTTACCGTAATCTGAATTTTTTTTAAAAATAATTTCTTTTCCAATAGAACAGTATTAGTTAGTTTTATTGATTTTATAATGTGAATAATGAGTGATTAAATAGATACATTTCAATATAAGATAATTTAAAAAAAAGGCATTTTCAGACAAATTCCTTTCGGATGAAAGGCGGTCCACCATAAAATTTCAGTGAAAATTTGTTTTTTTATTAAACATTTGAAATTTACTCCATTTATCCCTTGTCTCGGGGCTGAGAAGAGCAAACGAAACAAGCATGTTCTGCTGAAACCAGGGGTCCCAATAAGACTCGCAAGCAGATAACATGGGTGTAAAAGGGTCACATCGGAGTAGAGCCAAGCCTGCTTCCCCCCACTGACAATTAGAACTAAAATACTAACAACAGTCATTCTCGTAAAAACACAACCACAATAGAGACCATGACCAAATTCGGCCAAGTTATTTTATATAAATTATTTAAAAAAAAAAAGGACAGGCCTATTTTTGTTCCAACGCAAGTTGGTCCTACCGCGTGTTTTTTATAATCAAGTTAATGCTTTTATGCGCGCATAATAGGTGCATTTCCTCTTAAGTAGTTGAAATGCAGTCGGGAGCAAAAAATCAAAACAAAGTCAATGCCGTTTGAGAATCAGTTTCTCTCAAATTATATGCCCGCAAGTGTTGGTTTTATATGTTCATTCACTTCTTATCATTTTTTATTACCACCAAATTGGATTAATTATTGTGCCTGACAACTTTCTAAAAACCGCTCATCATAAATAATAAAATTAATGTCTGCGTCTCCAAGGTCCATGAAGCCAATAATTTGAGCAAAAACCAACCAACCGCGACCTTTTCTCTAAAATAATACTACCATACATACCAGTTTTATCGAAAATCATCTCAAAAATTCAAATATTAGTTGCAAATAATATTTATTGAGATATCGCAGAGACAATCGCTGCCTATATCGAGATACATCGATCATAAAATTCAAAGTAATTATATTTTTTTTCTCATAAGGAGAGAAAAAAATTACATATCTTTTACAATTATAATCAAATTTTGAAACATTACAAAAATTTAAAACATTAATCAATTTAAGTGCAACAAGCAATCATAAAAGGTTTTTGCCCACAGTGAGACAATTATAAATGATGAGTGAAAGGCTGACTTAACGCTTGGGAAAAGACCTGATTTTTTTTATTTAACACAGACAGCAGTGGACAGCAGTTTTATTTTAGGTGGCAATTTTTGCATAATATGGAAATTCAACGTTTCAGATATTATAATTTATTTTTAATTTTTTTTATAACTTTTAAGAGCGATTAATTCTTTTGTTAAATTCAAGTTTTTAATTTGATAAATCTTCATATTGCCCGCAGTGAGACACTGATAAATGATGAGCGAGGGCAACGCGACGTTTGTGGAGGAGTGCGAGCGTTCAAACGCGAGCGAGTCAGAGGACTGTCTGCGGCACGCGCCCGTGTTGACGCACGCGGCGGCCGTCAAGTCTTTGGTGTTGGCGGTGATGGCGGTGACGTCGCTGGTGGCCAACGTGGCCACCATCGTCAGCATCCACCGGCACCGCAAGCACCGCGTCAGCTCCGTCTACCGGCTCATCCTGCACCTGAGCATCGCCGACCTGGTGGTCACCTTCTTCTGCATCGGCGGCGACGCCATCTGGCACTACACCGTCGAGTGGTACGCCGGCGACATGGCGTGCAAACTGTTCAAGTTCGCGCAGATGCTCGGACTCTACCTCTCCACGTACGTGTTGGTGCTGATCGGCGTCGACCGCTTTGTCGCCGTCCGCTACCCCATGAACTGCCTCACCACCAAGACCTGCAACAGGTACGTCGCGTGCGCCTGGGCCCTCAGCGCCATCTGCAGCGCCCCTCAGGTAAGCCCTTTTTACTTTCATTTTTTGTCTCATTTCCATCTCAGTGTTGGCTCAAAAGAGTCGTATTTATTCAAAATAATCAAATAATATGAATCAATTTAATACAATCTGAGGTCAACATTAAAATGAAAAGGAACAAGATGGAATAAAAATTCCTAGATCAGAAATTCCGTGACCATTGGATTTTAACTTCTTGAATTAAATTTAACTACTATTTTTTCTTCTTCTACTTTTCATTGCATGAATAAAAAATATACAAATCTTTCATTTTCTTTATCTTTTTGAAGTCCTGGCCATGATGCCTATTTTTTCTAACTTTGAAAAACTAATTTTTCCTTTAAATAAAAAAATTGCTAGACAAAATTTTAAAAGATGTAAGAATTTTTAGAATGAAGCTGGAAAAATTTTGATGCTATATATGTATCTTAATTTCTTGACAGTATATTTTCTATTATCTCACACAAAAACTTAATGGGCTGACAGATTCTTCATGTGCTCTGCATTTTCTGGCTGAATATTCAATTTATGAAATTAGAAACATTCCTATGGAACTAAAAATTCTTTTCCAAGAGCCATTTTTCGTTTCAAAGAGTATTATTATTCCCCAACCCATGTTTCGCACAAAGGGGGGGAACATAGAATTTAATAATATATGCTGCCTTTTGCCGCTCGTTGAGGAAAAGTTGAATGGCAAAAAAGAATGAGCATATTTTCCAGATCGCCCATGCGGAAACTCTTGGCAAATGATTCAATTTAGACGTGAGCGTCGGAGTAGCACCGGTTGCATCAATCTGGGTAGCGAATCGTCACGGAAGGCATTAAATTCCCAACAGTCACTTTTAACAAACCTCAACGAGCGTCCTGTCACTTCCACTTAATCTCGCGTATAATTAAAGACACGAGCAAATGCAGAGCACGCGCCCTACCCATGAAATGCTCGTCATTTTTTGCATCAGCAGCTGCAAACTTGACCTTTCGCCTAATTGCATTTGCAAGAGAGAGAGAGACGATGCACTTTCCAGCCGGAGAATTTTCGATTAAGAGCCAGCCGCCCACGTGCTCGCGCTATTTGTAGACCAACGCGTGCATGCGATTTATTTATTGCGATTCTTCCAGCATCGAACCTACAGTCAGTTTCCTTTAATTGAGGCACTTTGCATCGCTTCAACCAGATTTTCAAGAAGAAAAAAATGGGTTTCGAGTGTCTCTCCATAAAAGTTTTGTGCTAGATAATTAAAACGTTATTATAAATTATATGCTGGTTACACGTGATCAAAAATATAAAGCAAGACTGACTTTAAATTGAATGGTAACACTCGAGGGTGGATTTCATGAAAAATTTAAACAGGGTGAACCTTGTTGCAAAGAAAAAAAGGTTTATAAGTTTTCAAGATAACAAAACCAAAATTTCCTGCTTCTTTCCATGAATTTTCTGCTTATTTTCCAATTTGAAAAGGGTTTTTGTTTAGAATGTTGTAAAAAATATGTTCCCAGTGAATTAAAAAAAAAATTAAAAGTTTTAAGAGGAAGAAGATTCCAATTTTTGTTTTTTTAGCAATTATGGAATTAATTTGCAGGAGAATTAAAATAAAAGAAATAAGTAAAATTTCTAAATTCCGTGGCTTTTCCTTTTTTACAAGCACACTAAAGACTCGGGATTAAAATAATTTTCCAAGACTGCTTTTAAAATGTTTATTTTTCTTGTATTGTTTATGGGCACGTGTCTTGCCTCGTTGGCGATGATTAAGTTTTTCATTTGGGAATAATGATCTCTCGCTCATTGGCACCAATCAACAGTAATAATCCAGCCAGTCTGCTCATTAACGCAGTTGCTGTCACCGCGCCGCCATGAATATCCAGCACCAGGGGTGTTGGAAATGTTGTGGTTCAAACTCGATTCCAACTCTGCCAAAGGAAGAACAATTTATATTAATTAATTGTATCAAATATATAATTAAATTAAAAAAAAAACGGTTGAGGCAGTTTTTTTTTAATTTGTTAAAAGAATTTGGGAATAAGTTGAAAAAAATAGCCATAGAAAATTTCAATATGTATGCAAAATTTTTTACACGTGTGTGTAACTAATTAGTATGTACTTAATTACCAAATATATATTATGTATTTCAAATTGAAATAAAAAATATAAAATTATTAAATCTTAAAAAAAGTACTCACTTGAAATTTAACTTCAAAAAAACTGACTCTGTCTGGGACTCGTGTCAGTTAAGATCTCTAGAAAATCGCCTTTATTGTGATAAAGTGAAATTTTCACAAAAGTCAATTATATTCAATACTTTTAATCACATCTAATTTAATTAAAAACATACTTATTGCCAATGAATACGTGCATGTTTTGTTGAACGCGCGTTTGTGCTGTAACATAGAGAAGAGCCAGTGCTATGGCTGCAGAAGCAGCTGAATGCTAATGAGCAGCTGCCCGTCCTCTCCTTGCACAATTGCCAGATTTTTATTCACAAGAGGCCAAATAATTAATTTGGAGGGCGACAGCCCGGCTGGGCTGTGGAATAATACACCTGCTCTCCGCTCGCACATTAACCATCCGTTCGTTCGCCGTGTTTGACACGTAAGGATAATTCATTCAAAGCGGCCTCTATGCTGCTTCACCAAGTGGCACCGAAAGCGAGCGACCCCTTCACCCACACCTGTGGTCTCCGATTCTAATTCAGGACAATTGCACACATCATCCACCACAATACAAAACAAGCAAAACGTGCTTAAGAGGCTTATTTCTGCTCACAACAGAAATTTGAAGGTCTCTTTGATTATTTACCTACCAATTATAAGGATGCAAAAATCTTATTCTAAGTGAAATTAGCTCCAGACGCAGAGCGCAAATTTTTAATGAATCCAATGAGAACAATTATAAAAGTTCCTTGAGTGATGATGGTATTTTTCAGAATCTATTACATACTTAATTGTATATAAAAAAAAATGTTGAGCAAAAAGCGGCAAAAAGGTATTATTAAAATACTAAATTTATCATATATGTCAATATTTAACATTTTTTTATCGATTTCATATCTTCTGATAAGTTTCCATCTATAACAATATTTATAATTTATGTATTGAATAATAAATCTTATCTAAGAATATGAGAAAGGGAAATGTCAAAAACTACAGTGAAACTCCTATAAATGTGCAAGTTTCATTAATGTTTGAAATTTATAAATAAATAAATTGTAGTTAAAATTTTCTAAACCATTTAGAAATATTTTATCAACGTTTTGTGGGAATTGTAATTATCTGCCTCGTCTATGGGTTGAATCTGGGGAAATTTGCGTAAAATTTGATTCAAGTGGTTTTAACCAAATTTTTGCACAAAGTTGCCGGCTATAATTATTCTGTTGGTGCGTTTGTTCCGCGTTTTTCGCATAGTCAGCCATCGGCGGTTTTCTTTCTCTCTGACGCTTTTATACCAAAAGGGGCCTCTCGTCGGGCTTTCCGCTCTAATCACACCGCTCTCTGCCAAAAAATAAACAGTGTCAGTGGCAAAATCAATCTGGATAGGATCGGTTGGCATATATGAAGGTTACGGGGGTGGACTGCTGACAGGGGGTGGCGAGGAGCGCGCGTGCCGTCTGTGAGTCTGTGATTCGGCCAAAGCAATATATTTTGCCCATCAGAGAGCGACGGACGGACTGTTTGAATTGTGCACCACCCAATAAAAGGCTCTTTGCGACTTGAAAAGAAGAAAGCTTGAAAAGAGCGCGCGGCGGTCCACTCTTCTGCACAGATGAGAGGAGAACCAGTCGCTCGCCTATGCAACCGGTGGTGACACTTCTTTGATGTTACTTTCGCTCTTGCGCACTTTGTCAGGCGTCAAAAGTCTGTTGGATGTGAAAAAAATGAACGCCAAGAAAAAAAATTAATATATTCCTGTCATTTTTGATGCGTTGTTTCCCGATGATCAAGTTTGGTTTACAAGCGTGAATGCAAACTGACTGGCAGCTGCGACGCAAGAGCTTCCTAAAATTTATTTTTTGAGGCAAATTTATTTATTTAAAATATTTTTTATTGATCCGTTAATTGTTAAGTGTCTATTTAAATGTAATTTTAAATGAAGAGAACCATTAATATGAATTTTTTTTTAATCAAACATTTCAAGATATAAAATATAAACCGTAATTGTAAATATACCATGAAAATAATCTGATGAAATTTAAAATTTAAGCCTTCAATTGTTAACCTATATTTCTTTTATATTTTTTTACACTTTTGGTTTTGTTTTAGAGACAAATTAAATGAATTGATGCAGAGAATTTTGATAAATTAAACAAAACTATTTATTTGATAGTTTTGAAAATCTTTTAAAAAAATTCTTATATTTTACACAAAACTTCTGCATAATCAGTTTAGGTAAACATTAAATTTACCTTTCTTTAGCTTCATTTGTAATTAATTGGCAACACAGTTGCAAAATCAGCTATTTCCAAGAAACCATTTTGAATTTGGAAACGAAATGTAAATTTGGTGAGCGTATTGAATGAAGCCTTGAAGGCATTAATTTGTGCACATCCGTCATCCAACTCGCGCTCTTCTATTTTCCGATAAATATTTTCCAGCACGAATGCAAAGCTTGATAAGGCACACCGCTTTCCTGAACAAATGCCGAGAGACGGACCCGCGGCGGTGTTTCGTCGCATGAAAAAATGAACAGTCCTTTGTGGATTATTTTACCCGTTTGAGACGCACACACAAAAACATTTCATTGTTTTCTGCTCTGCTTTAATTCCAAGGATTTCAAATGCACGCATTGCTCGCTGGAAAATCGACCAAAAAAAATTAATTTGACGAAAAAAGAACCGAGATGGGATTCTATTTCCCTTTACTTTCCCCAAGCGGCGCAGCTATTTTTTGTTTGTCACCATGCAGATTTGAAAAAAGTTTGTGTGATGTGAATTTGCATGCGCCATTCAAAGAATTCTTTGAGCAAACGTGCACCTGCGGTGCGATGAACCCATTTCTCTCTCGAGCAACTG